TGTGTGTGTGTGTCTGTGTGTGTCAAATGAGCCCAGTGTGACATTTATGGATGGAGACTGAATCTAAATATAGCGTGTGTGTGTGTGTGTGTTTGAGATTCTCCTAGGAGAGCAACATACATACACACACACACACACACACATTGCCTGAATTGACCCGTCACAGAGTAAACACAAAGTTCATCAAAACACTGATATTCATCAAATTCACTACACAAATCACCAGAAAATTATGCAGAATATAAATAGTTTTGCATTATGATCATTTTATATCAATTTAGCAACATTTTCCATCCAAATATCTCATTATTGTCTATAATGACTGTCATTAGATGCTCATTGCAATCATACAATCCTGAAACAGTGACAATTTTGTCCAAAAATCAGCATAAATGAATCATGGAAAATTTATTTAAAATTTATATAATAATAATTTTATATAAATAATAATATAATAAATCCTGCGGGGGAAAAAATGTTAATGGTACGAAAAAAGACGATTTTCTGTATGCAGAATGTAGTTTCTTATTTCTGCTGACTGCATCCGTTCATATGCATGAAAACAGACAGATGTTCATCAGTTCCACGTGTAAACCACAGACTCGCAGCTGATTCCTGTGATGTTGTGACGGATCTCTGCCGGAGGTCTGGGTTCAGCCGGTAAACAGGTCATGATTCAGTCACTGGTGTTGCAACACAGAGTCAAAGGCTGAAATGAATCCGATAAAACAAATGAAACTACACTGAAGTATGCTGCTCATGTGTCATCTGTTATTTATGTCAACACTGATTATTAATTCATCCTCCTGTAATTGATTCATCAAATATTCTACAGAAATAGGGTGACCATATTTTAGTTTTCATAAAAGAGGACAGTGGGGGCAGGATGCACAGGCGCAATAACCATATCCCAAATATCAAAACTCAAAATATGTAATTTCCATACTTAAAATGCATATTTTACAGTCACCGTTATGCAGATTGATCATAAACACAGCTAAAAAACTTCCTACCAGTGGTCGTCCTTCACAAAAAGTTTTATCATAGTGCAAAATGTTTCAATACAAGCATATTTCAGTCAAATTTAATTTATGCAATATTTAAAAGCTTTACCCAGGGGAGAAAATCAACATGCCGTAAAATTAGCCCAATTCCATGCAAAAAATGCGGATTTGGCAACCCTGCATCCAAAGTGATTTAAATACTCCGCATATTGATAGCAGCTCCCTGATGCGTGAAAATTATAATCAATATTGGAATGTTTGCGTGAGGCGGCGGTAATGGTAAGAAAAATCAGCGGGAGCGGGATTAAGAAAACAGTTTTTTTACAATACAAAAACGCACACAATGAATGGCAACTGTAGAAAGCAAAAGCCGAATCCTGAACATTTTGGGCGATTTGGTTGAGTTGAGTTGAGTTGAATTGAATTGAACGGAGCTGAGTTGAGTTGAGTTGAGTTGAGTTGAGTTGAACTGAACTGAATTTAATTTAATTTAATTTAATTTAATTTAATTTAATTTAATTTAATTTAATTTAATTTAATTTAATTTAATTTAATTTAATTTAATTTAATTTAATTTAATTTAATTTAATTTAATTTAATTTAATTTAATGATTTAGAAATCCCGGCTGGATGCATTTTTTTAGGTCCAAAAAGAGGACATGTCCGGGGAAAAGAGGATGTATGGTCACCCTAACAGAAATAAATGCTTGTCTTCATAATCTGACATCACCTGGGCCTCTTATTAATTATATTAATGTTAACAAATATCTGTTTAGTCCTAGTTTTAGGTTGCTGTTGTTATGAGTCACAGTAATTTATTGCTCGTTAATCTATTGAATCAAACTCAACAGCTTGTTTCTTGAGGCATTCGTGTTTCAGATACAAAAATACTAGTTTGTTTGAGTGAATTTAGAGCAGATTTGGTTCCACTAACCCACTGTGACATCTGACCCATCAGAGCAGAGGTCAAAGGTCAAGCAGGACTCAGGGTGTGTTCATATAATTAGTCCTGAAGACTGATGAAAGATTATCAGGACAAACATTTTCTTCAGAACAGTGTTATTCTAGTATTATTTTACAGTATATAATATTTATAGTATTGTATACTTTTATATTTTCATTTTTAAATTTTAGCTTAAGTTTTAGTAATTTTATGTGCTTTTCATTTTTTTTTTATATTTCTATTTAGCTTTTATTTATTGTGTGTGTATATGTGTGTATATATATATATATATATATATACATATAGTATGTTTTATATATTTTATAATTTTTTATTTTAATTTTTTAAATTAATGTTCTTTAAACTTAAACATACTTATTTTAGTTAGTTGTCAAGGCAGCATTTCTTCTTTTTTCTAATTCTACTCTCTCTCTCTCTCTCTCTATATATATATATATATCGCATTTAATTATATTTTATTTTAATTGGAGTTTTAGAAATTGTAGTACTTAAATTAGATACATGTATAAAATGTATTTATTTCAGTTACAACATTTCTTCCTATTTTTCTTTTTGATATATTTCTATGTAGAGGGCAAGGCAACATTTCTTCTAATTTTTGAGTCATGAATCAATGGAGTCAATTAATAGAGTCATGAATCAATGGAGTTGATTAATAATCATGAATCAGTAGTGTCAATTAATAGAGTCATGAATCTGTAGAGTCAATTAATAGATTGAATCAATGGAGTCATGAGTCAGTTTCTCGGTTGTGATTCTGCTGTTGTTCTGTCTCAGAGTTTCCACGGTGCTGTTACGATCTGTGGCAGAGCTCCGGCGGTCAAGCGCGGGACGGCCTGTATCTGATCCGCCCTGGAGACTCGCCCATCGCCGTCTACTGCGCCGTGCAGGAGGAGTCAATTAACAGAATCATGAATCTGTAGAGTCAGTTAATAGAGTCATGAATCTGTAGAGTCAGTTAATAGAGTCATGAATCTGTAGAGTCAGTCAATAGAGGCATGAATCAGTAGAGTCAGTTAGTAGAGTCATGAATCAGTAGAGTCAATCAATAGAGTCATGAATCAGTAGAGTCAGTTTCTCGGTTGTGATTCTGCCGTTGTTCTGTCTCAGAGTTTCCGCGGGACTGTTACGATCTGTGGCAGAGCTCCAGCGGTCAAGCGCGGGACGGCCTGTATCTGATCCGCCCTGGAGACTCGCCCATCGCCGTCTACTGCGCCGTGCAGGAGGAGTCAATTAACAGAATCATGAATCTGTAGAGTCAGTTAATAGAGTCATGAATCTGTAGAGTCAATCAATAGAGGCATGAATCAGTAGAGTCAGTTAGTAGAGTCATGAATCAGTAGAGTCAATCAATAGAGTCATGAATCAGTAGAGTCAGTTTCTCGGTTGTGATTCTGCCGTTGTTCTGTCTCAGAGTTTCCGCGGGACTGTTACGATCTGTGGCAGAGCTCCAGCGGTCAAGCGCGGGACGGCCTGTATCTGATCCGCCCTGGAGACTCACCCATCGCCGTCTACTGCGCCGTGCAGGAGGGCGGCTGGACGGTGGTGCAGCACATCACGGTCAACAGCAGCGTGGACTTCGACCGCGGCTGGGACGAGTACAAGCATGGCTTTGGATCCCTGAGCGGGAAACACTGGCTGGGGAACGAGCACTTGCACCGGCTGACCCGCGGCCCGGCCCGGTACAAGCTCGGCATCAAGCTGGTGGACGAGGACGCCGTGACCAAGACGGGCAGGTACGAGCCAGCGCTGGTGGAGGACAAGGAGGCGCAGTGCCGTCTGCGTCTGGGTCTATTCCAGGGCAGATGCGGCGGATGCTCTGACGCTCGACACCGAAAACTACCTGCACAACAACAAGCGCTTCACCACCAGAGACCTTGACAATGACAACTACTTCCAGAACTGTGCCCAGCTGGAGTTCCAGGGCGTGGCCGGTGGCGGCTGGTGGTGCGACGCGTGCGCTGGCGCGAACCTGAACCACAGGAACGTCATCTACTGGCAGAAGGACTGCAACAAAGAACACCTGTGCAAATACGCCTGGATGATGGTGAAACCCTCAGAGCAGCTCAAAGTGATTAGCTCTGGAGACTGTGCGAGAGATGAACTCTGATCCACTCCGAAAAAAAACAGTCCAGTTATCGTGAATTAACCCTGCATCACTCTGCATCAGGAGATT